TCCGCTCTCCGCTCGCCCTCCGCCGCCTCGCTTCCTCGTGCTCGTCCTCCTCCTCCTCCTCCTCCTCTTTCCTGGCCGCTGCGCGTGGCCTGGTCGCCTCTTCCTCGTCCTGGCTCGTCCTCGTCATCTCCTGCTCCTGGCGGCGCTCCCTGGCAGCTGTGGGCCAGCGCCTGCAGACGACACGCGATTTCCACTGCCGTGAGCAGGTCGTCGTCGTCGTCGTCGTCGCGGCAGCGCTGGCGTAGCTCTGCAACTGGTAGGCCCTCGCAGGGAATGTCCGTCGTCGCCTCCTCCACGTCCGCGCCGCTCCAGACGCACGCAGTTCATTCCCCACCGGCATGCGGCGAGAAAGGCCCGTGCAGTCGGAGCTGCGTCCAGAGCCGAACTGTCTTGCACAGGAAATGCGACGCTGCCTCTTCACCGTGGCGGCGACTCTGGCTGGATGGACGGCCAGCTGCTGCGCCCGCCGCGCTCCCTCATGCCTGCGCAAAGGCGGGGCCACTCCCTGCTGGAGGCAGCGCCGAATCAAGCGCTTCTTCGCCTGCCGTGCCACCGCCTCTGGCTGCCCCGCCGCCGCTGCCGCGGCCCATCCGCGCAGGCCCCAGACGCCGAGCGCAGCGACATGCTGCTTGGCTGTGGCGGTCCGCGTGGTGGTGAAAATCCCGCGGCCACGCTGGCGACCCTCCGTGGGCTGGACGCTCCTGGCAGGGCCTCGCTCATGACCGGCAGACCGAACGCATCCCGAAACACCCGCGTGCTGAGCTCACAGGGTTGTCCCAGTTCCCTCAGCAGGGCGACGCGAGGGAGCCCCAAGAACCTAGCGACCCACTTGTCGAGGAGGAGGAGGAGGAAGAGGAGGAAGAGGAGGAGGAGGAGGAGGAGGAGGAGGAGGAGGAGGAGGAGGAGGAGGAGGAGGAGGAGGATACGGCACTAGCTGGCGGACGCCGCGCTCCAAAAGGGCGCCACGCGCGCTCGATAGAGAGGGCGGTCACACGTGACCGCCCGACGCCTGTCTACCGCCACGCCCCCACCAGAGGATCGCGGGGCGTGGCGCAAGCAAAAAAGGCATGGGAACGAGAGGAAGCAGGCGAGTTGCGATTAGGGAAGAGGCGTACCTCCCGCGCCGCTCCCCTCTCTATCCCCGAAATAATGGTTCTGCAAGAGCCTGAACCAATTGGCCTCAGGGTCCGAACCCAGAAAGGGCCGAGGGGTCGGAATTCTGCGAGAGTCCGACCTCCCCTCATCTGCGGGACAGGAGGAGGCGGAGGAGGAGGAGGAGGAGGAGGAGGAGGAGGAGGAGGAGGAGGAGGAGGAGGAGGAGCCTAGCAACGCACTTGTCGAAGACCGCCCCGAGCCTGGTGCTCGGATCCAGCCCGACCACCGGGAGCGAGGCCCACTTGGCACGCCCGGGGGCAACGCCCTGCCTCCCAGTGCGGTCAGGGCTGCCGGGTGTTAAGGCCCAGAAAGACGACCGGCGTGCTGACCCCGGCATTCGTCGCCCGTGCGCCGCCCGTGCGTCGGCCGCCGAAAAGGCCAGCCGCCCTCTCGAACGTGCACGTCGCCCTCACAAGGCGGCAAGCCCACGAGCCCGATCCCGAGCAGCGCGCTGTCCCAGGATGCCACTGCACGGCTCTACACCTGGCGGAGGAGCTTCGGTCAACCGGCCTGCGGGGTCCATCGGCAAGCCCGGGGCGACGTGGCACAGGGAGGAAGAGGGCTGGGCGAGGCGTGCAGGAGGCAGAGGACGAACAATGCAGGAGGACGGGCGAGGAATGACGAAGGATGGAGGAGGATCAGGAGGAGGAGGAGGAGGAGGCAACGAGGAGTAGCGGGAGGGAAGGTGGAGGAGGTGGAGGAAGGGGGCGAGGGAGGATTGCACGGATGGATGGATGAATGACGAGGATGAGGGCAAATGTCGCTCACTGGGTCAATCGCGCCACTCGACCGCGTCATCAGAACCCGCCTCCGTTGGCGCCGACCATCACCGCTCCTGCCGCATCCGCTCCCGTCGCAGAGACCGCGGCCAATCCACTAGCGCGACAGTGGTCAACCGACCTCTGGCAGGCGCTGAGAGGATGGGGAGGGAAGACGGAGGATGATGGTGGTCATGGTGAGGCGGATGCTGGAGAAGAAGGAGATAACAAAGTACGGAGGGAGAGGAATATTATGATCATGATACTGATAATGGTTAATGATGTTGCTGCTGATGATGCTGCTGCTGATGATGATGGTGAAGGTGATGCTGCTGGTGGTGATGATGATGGTGGTGATGCTGCTGCTGATGATGATGATGGTGAGGATAATGATGATGCTAATGATGAGTATGAATATGAATACGATGATGCTGATGATGGCGACGGAGATGATGCTGCTGATGCGGCTGATGATGATGATGATGCTGATTATGATGATGCTGCCGATGATGCTGATTATTATGCTGTTGCTGCTGCTGATGAGGATGTCCATGATGATGACGACGATGGCGACGAAGGCGATTATGATGATGCTGATGCTGGTGCTGATGTTGATGCTGCTGCTGCTGCTGCCGATGCCGTTTTCTATGCCGATGATGATGCTGCTGAAGATGATGCTGATGCTGCTGCTGATGATTATGCTGATCATGATTATCATTCAGATGATGATGCTGCTGATGATGATGGTGATGCTGGTGATGGTGATGCTGAGTATGATGATGATGATGATGAGGATGAGGACGATGATGCTGAGTATGATGATGATGCTGATGATGCTGATGATGATGAGGATGCTGAGGATGATGATGATGATGATGATGATGCTGATGATGATGATGATGATGATGATGATGATGATGATGATTCTTCTTCTTATTACTATTATTATTATTATTATTGCTACTAGCATTCGCAATATGAATAATACCACTGTTATTACTTGTAACATCATTAATAGTTTCATTCGTATTTTTCTTATTCTTCTTTTTCTTATTCTTATTCTTCTCTTTATGAAGGCGGAAAAGGGGTGGATGGGACGGAGGGAGGGACGGAGGGAGGAGTATGAGTAGAAGGAAGAGGAATTCCTGGAATGTGGACGGAAAGGGGGAGGAGGCGGAAGGAGGAAGAATGGGGAAGGGAGGGGGATGTTGTTCACAGAGTGCCCGTGGTCCCCGATAGTGCGAGCGACTCGCGGGATCAGAAGCAGCGCCGCCTTGTGTGGAGCCCTCGTGGTCGCGTCGAAGAACTTGGCGTCCGCCATCTCCGAGGAAATCTCCACCGACGCGGCCTGCTCCCACGATCACTAGGCCCCTTCCACCCCTTATCCGCACAGAATAGCTCCTCCCTGCCGCGCCCACAAGCGTGAAAGCAGCACGGGCTGGGGATCTCGTCTCAGACTTCCTCACGGTTTATGATCCTGGCGCGTAGAGTTCGCAGCAATTGCAAGAACGGTGGAAGGAGGGGGTCATAAGGGACTCTCGCCTCAGCGACCCGCGCGTTCGTCTGACAAGCTTGGAACAGCCTCATGTACATGAGGCTGTTCCCTGTCAACATGCGGCTCTCCCCTTCAGCGCCGTGTGCCTTCGTCGGAAGCGTTTGCACAATCTCCAGGTCTGGAGGACGGCTCCCTTGTCATACTGGGGCTTCCCTGTGAGACCTCTGTAAAACTTTGGAGACCAGGTGCTTGAGCATATCTTAAAGCTGCACGGATGGAGGGCGGCTCCTTTTCAGCATGGGGCTGTCGCTCGCGACTTCTTCGACACTCATGCCCAGGAGTGCAGACTTGTGCAATACTTACACACTTGGGAGTTGCATATTTTCAACACCGGGGGAATCGCTGGTCACCTCGTTGTGCTGTATGGCCATGCCTTTCCACATTCCGAGTTACGCGCTAGGAGGAGCCCCCCACCTGCATGGCAGACACAAGGGTGCGCCTCTTGTTCTGAAAAGTGGGGACGAGGAGGGGCCTTGGGACGGGATGGGAGATTGCAGCGTCGTTGATGCATATTTGGTTTACTCTGGTCCTTCTCCTCATCCTGCTCCTGCTCCTGCTCATCCTCCTCCTCTTCTTCGCTCCTCGTCTTCCTCCATCCCTACCTCCCCTCCTCCGCCCCTCTCCAACCCCCACTCCCACTCCCCCGCTGCTCCTCCTTCTGCTCCGCCTCCTCGCCCGATCCTGCCTTCCACTCCCCAGCCGTCCTCTTGTCCTCCCCCTGTGCCCCTCCTCGTTCTCCTCCTCCTCCTCCTCCTCCTCCTCCTCCTCCTCCTCGTTCCCCCCTTCTCCTCCTCCACCTTCCCTCCTCCTCCTGCTCCTTCTCCTCCTGCTCCCCTCCCTCTCTTTCCACTCTCCCCCCCTCCTCCCCCTCCCCTCCCTCCTCCCTCCTCTCCCTGCTCCTCCTCTCCGCACCCCTGGGCACATGGCTGGCCTGGCCAGGACCCGTGGCGTATGTTTTGGCTCCCTCTTCGTCCGCCCCTAGGGTGAGGGGGGGGGGGGCGAGACGCGACTAGCCCATGGAACCCACCACCGTCCGAATGAGTCAGCAGCTCTACACGAGATTCTGCGAGAAATTATCCTCGACCCTCACGAAATTCATCAAACTGAGTCTGCTGCTCACTCTCCTCAACTGAGGCGCTGGTCTGTCGGCACCTCTGAGGCACGCGACCTCGAGCGAGGGCCGACTCGAACGGCGCGGGAGGCAGCTACGAGTACGTTGCTTTGCTCTTACTGATGGCTCTCGCTGGTCGGAGCTCGCCCTCTCCCCCTCCGACAACTCGGGAGGAGGAGAATGATGAGGAGGAGGAGGATGAGGAGGAGGTGGAGGAAGAGAAGGATGAACGGCCGTACCGAATGGATTCGGACCTACGGCGCGACAGCACGACCAGCAGCCGATGGCGGCCGTCGCTGCAGCTAGGATCGTGTACTGACATGCGGGAGTGTTGAGTACGCTCCCTCGCGCATCGTACTCGGCCTCGAGCTTGTGGTGCATGTGACAAGCTAAAACGATACTTTGATGCAAGCGGGCACGTGTATACGGCAGGTTCGTGTCGTGCCGACCCCAGCGTTGGTTTTTGACACCGCAAGGATCGTTCAACCTTGAACGATTGGCCGCTGCCGCAACGTCCGATCGTTCAACATCGATCGATTCTGGGTCGCCGGCGGCGTTCAACCTTGAACGCCCGCGGCGGGGTCGCGACGAGTCGACACGACGCGAACCTACCGTACTCCAGCTTCGGATCGGGGTCCATACCGAGTCCGAGGCGAGCAGTGGGGGATGCGGACAGGTGACCACGAGGGAGAGGAACAATCATCACGGGCGGGGGGCTCGCATCCAGAAGGGGAGCAGGAGGAAGACGAGGAGGAGGAGGAGGAGGAGGAGAGGGAGGAGGAGGGAGGAGGAGGAGAGGAGGAGGAGGAGGAGGAGGAGGCGGAGGAGGAGGGACAGGGGGAGGAGGAAGGAGAAGCTCATCGTTTGCTTCCCCAGCCCGCATCGGCTGGGTCCTCGCCTTGGGCAGGGCCCTGCTGCTCCCCGTCCCCCTTCCCGTCCTCTGTCGCCCCCTCCCCTCGTTTCCCTACAGCTCCTCCTCCTCTCCCCCTCCTCCTCTCCTCCTCCTCCTCCTCCTCCTCCTCCTCCTCCTCCCCCTCCCCCCCCCTCCTCCCCCTTCCCCTCCTCCTCCTCCTCCTCCTCCTCCTCCTCATCCTCCTCGTCCTCCTCCTCCTCCTTTCCCTCCTGCTCGCCTCCTCTTCACCTCTTCCTCGCTTCCCCTGTCGGGGCGCTGCCAACCGCGCAGGTGTTGGCGCTGCACTCAGATCCACCGGTTACCCTCATCTCCCTGGGCTCTGCCAACTTCGCAACCATCGCCGCTTTCGTGAGATCCTCGGAGGTCCAGTGGAGCGGGGCCCCATTGTGACCTAAATGCTTCTCCTCGCCTGCCTGGGGGCTGTCAACTGTGCCACCGTCCCTACTTTCGTGATTTTCTGCTAGGTCCAGCGGGGTGGCGCCCGTTTCAAATCCAGATGAGTTGCCTCGCCTCACCGGGGGCTGCCAACTGCGCAACGGTCGCCACTTTCGAGATCGCGTGGGAGATCTAGCGGAGTGACACGAATTTCGGATCCATGGTTACACGCGCCTCCCTGCAGGCTGCCAGCTGTGCAACTGGAAACACTTCGGGAGATTGTAGGAGGTCCAGCCGAGTGGGCCTCAATGTGGATCAAAATGATCGCTCTCGTCTGCCTGGGGCTTGCGACCTGCGCAGCGGTCAGTACTTTCGCGGGTTCCTGGGAGGTCCACCCGAGCTCGCCTCCCTGGGCGATGCCACCTGCGCAACGATCGCCACCCTCTTTCTTGAACTGTTGGGAGGTCCAGCGGAGTGCGGTCCTGTTCCAAACTATTGCTGCCATCGCTGGGCGCCGAGGACTGCGCAGCTGTCGCCGCGCTCGTGTGCTCCTGGGAGGTCCAGCGGAATGACGCCCTACGCCTGCAGCTGGCTTTTCTCTGGTAGCGCTTCTGCTTGTGGGGCGTACTGCATGGGTTCCCCACTGTAGCTCGCGGAAATTACAACACGCTCTTTCAAATGCACTTCCGTCCCAGGCGAGCCCGATGATGTTGCCACTTGTTTCATTAGGGTTGGGCATGTCCGTGGGTATTTTGCGAGTCTGGCAGATTCTGGTAGGTTCCAGGAGGTTCTACGGGTGTTTGGATTTTTTTGGAGGTTCCATGGGTTTCGAGGGGTCTCTAAGGGATGAGGGGCAGGAGGAGGGAGGAGGATAAGCGAGGACAAGGATGAGGAGGATGAGGAGGATGAGGAGGAGGAGGAGGAAAAGAGCAGGAGTCCGACGGAGGAGGAGGACAAGGAGAAGGAGGAGAAGGAGGAGGAGGAGGAGGAGGGCCAGGGGAAACCCAAGAGTCATTAACGATGTTGGAATTAAGCCTCCCTCCAAGCTCCCTCTTGAAAGGCCCCTGCAACGGTTCATTTCCATTGAGGAAACTGCCTCCTTAGAAGACGACAGTTTGAAGATCCGGAAGCGTGCCAAAACATTGTTCTCGGGATTTCAACGCCACGTATCAACCTGACTGCTGCGTCTTGACGATCCAGAATCTTGCCAGAACGTCATTTTTTGTACTTCAACACAACAAATCAACACAATCGTTGCGCCCGCATAATCCAGAATCCTTGGAAAACACCGTTTCTGGTACGTTGATCATGGGAACCCGTGAAGCTCTTGCAAATTCTCAAAACGAATGCGTGCGGTACTAACACGAGGACCACATTTTGAAAACCACCCGCCCTTAATCCGTGAAGCTCTAGCAATTTTTTGAAACGAATGTGCGCGGCGCTGAGGCGAGAACCACATTTTCAAAACCACCCGCCCTCAATCCGTGAAACTCGTGCGAACTTTGAATTCTAATGCGCGCGGCGCTAAGGCGAGAGCTACATTTTGAAAACCACCCGTCCTCAATCCGTGCAGCTCTAGCAAATAAAAAAACGAATGTGCGCGGCGCCACGGCGAGAACCACATTTTGAAAACCACCCACCCTCACTCCGTGAAACTCATGCAATTTTTTAAACGAATGTGCGCGGCGCCAAAGCGAGAAACACATGTTGAAAACCACCCGCCCTCAATCCGTGAAGCGCTTGCAAATCTTTAAAACGAATGTGCATGGTGCTAAGGCGAGAGCCATATTTTGGAAACCACCCGCCCTGAATCCGTGAAACTATTGCAAACTATAAAAACGCATGTGCGCGGCGCTAAAGCGAAAACCAACTTAAAAAAACCACCCGCCCTCCATCCGTGAAGCTGTTGTCACTTTTTCAGCTTCAGAATCATAAAAGGTGAGGGGGTCTCAAGCGAAACGCTCCTGGTGCGACAGGGAGGAGTTGTCTGTAATATAAGAATGGAGGAGGAGGAGGAGGAGGAGGAGGAGCAGGAGCAGGAGCAGGAGCAGGAGGAAAGGAGGAGTCCGACGGAGGAGGAAGAGGAACAGGAGGAGGAGGAGGAAGAGGAGGAGGAGGAGGAAAGGGAGGAGGAGGAGGAGGAGGAGGAGGAGGAGGAGGAGGAGGAGGAGGAGGAGGAGGAGCAGGACGAGAACGAGGAGAAGCCATGATGAGGGAGGGGCGGGATCGCGCGGGATTAGACCCAGACATCCGACGATGAGATGCTCTCAGCCCGCGGCCCCAGAGCTCCCGACCCCATCGCTGGAGGCAGTTTTTCGGCCCGTGCCCGTATCTGATGGCGGACTCGGGGCCCGATGAGGAACGGCCCCCGGAGGCCGACCTCGAGGAGAAGCGCCGCGAGTGAGAACAGGATCTCGTCGGCGCTCTGGGGGCCCTCGACGTCCTGGGCGCTCGGGGCAGGGGACGGCCGCGAGCAGGAAGGCCTCGTGGGGCCCTCCCGGGGGAGGCCCCGGAGCTCTGGGCGGAGCCCGGGCGAAGGGCGCGGTGAGGCACTGTCCGAGGCCGGGGCGCTGGCGCCCAGAGGAATGCCACCGCGCGCGGCGCGCCTGGGCGCCCCCGCACTGCGGTCGGGAACTGCCGTCGCTCGGGCGCCCATTCCCCGTGCATTCTGTTCGGTCTCGTGCGTTTTCGTTTCTGACTAGGGCCCAGGGACACACGCGCATGAATAGAGGCAGATCCCAGGACTCCCCATGCCTTTTCTCTCTCTCTCTCTCTCTCTCTCTCTCTATATATATATATATAGGTATATGTATGTATGTACGTATGTATGTATGCATGCATGCATGCATATATGTATGTATGTATGTATGCATGCATGCATGCATGCATGCATGCATGCATGCATGTATGTATGTATGCATGTATGCATGTATGTATGTATGTATGCATGTATGTGTATATATATATATATATATATATTTCCTGGCGGCTCGTCTCCGCCCCTCCGACGTCCCATATCTTCCAGGCTCCTCTGGGACTCCTCCTTTTTTTGCCTCCCTCTTTTCCTACTCTTCTTCCTCTTCTTCCTCTTCTTCCTCCTCCTCCTCCTCCTCCTCCTCCTCCTCCCTCCTCGCAGGAGGAGCCCAGGCGCTCCCCCGATGGCCCTCGCAGGGGGGCAGACGCTGCCGCGCCCGAGCGCTGCCGCGCCGCGCCTCGCGGCGGCGGCCCGGACGGCGACGCGCCGCGCCTCGTGAGCGGACGGCGTGCCCCGCTCACGGAAGGATGGCACTGGAGGAGGAAGAGGAGGCGGAGGAGGATCGAGGAGGAGGATCAAGGAGAATGATCGAAGAGGTGGTCAGAACGCGCCCTGGCCAGGGCGCCCCCCCCGTGACCGCTTCTCGCGGCTCACGGAAGGAAGCCTCGTGAGCGGACGGCGTGCTCCGCAGGACGAGGCTCGGGAGGGCTCGGGGCGCTGCCGCTCGGGGGCCGGGCCGTTCCGGAGCCGAACTCTCGACAGGGCAGATTTTTTAATACATAGGATTTTTGAATTATCCCAGTGCGACCCTGCCTAGGAGTTGGAACCCCTAGGAAAGCAGCATTAGCAGTAGCAGTAACGCCAAGCTAAAGCTAAGCTAAAGCTAAGCTAAAGCTAAGCTAAAGCTCAGCTAAAGCTAAGCTAAAGCTAAGCTACAGCTAAGCTACAGCTAAGCTAAAGCTAAGCTAAAGCTAAGCCACAGCTAAGCTAAAGCTGAGCAACAGCTAAGCTAAAGCTAAGCTACAGCTAAGCTACATCTAAGCTAAAGCTAAGCTAAAGCTAAGCTAAAGCTAAGCTAAACGCTAAGCGAAAAGCTAAGCTAAAGCTAAGCTAAAGCTAAGCTAAAGCTAAGCTAAACGCTAAGCGATCAGCTAAGCGAAACGCTAAGCTAAAGTTAAGCTACAGCTAAGCTAAAGCTAAGCTTAAGCTAAAGCTAAAGCTAAAGCTAAAGCTCGCAGGAGACTGGGGGAACTGCGGGGCGGGGACTGGGGGAACCGCCCGGGGCGCTTTGCACTGCCCGGCCCCTTTAAGCTAAGAGAGTAAGAACCCTTCTAGGCAGAGCCTAGGTAGGGAAATATAGGATTTCTAATAATGATTAATTTATGAATGAATTTAGGCATGAACGCATCGTTGTTTTTAATACTGAACCCCTGTATTTTTCATACATGATCCGCGCGCGGAGCATGTATAAAAAACGGCACTGCACCGACGCTTTTTCCGGCCCCGCACTGGAACTCGCACAGGAACGCAGACCCTGGTGTACAGGGGGGCTCCTGGTGTATACATGTTTCGATGTTTCCACGGGAGGACGGGGAAACAGGTATATTGTGCACCACACCACCTCGACGTCGCCCCCGACCCTCAGAAACTCCTGGGACTGCAGAACAGCCCGCCACTGGTAACGTATACGCTCCAGTTTCCGGGCCGTGGCCAGCGTGTCGCGCCGAAGCGCGGTGGGCCAGAACCGGCGGAGTGACTGGCGGCCCTGCACGCCAGGCCACAATTCCCGACCGTGAGCCACTTTGCGACCACGGCTCCAGTTGGGGAGGCCAAAGAAGGTATCAATATCGCTACGCCCTGGACCTCTCCTGGGATGCGTTCTGACCAGAATTTCGAGGCGAGTCCAGCCGTGGCGGCGAGGGCCTCACAGGAGGCCCAAAAAGGCGAACACGAAGGGATCAGCTGTATCAGTACCCCCCCCTCCCCTGAATGCCATCCCCAATCTGTTGGAGGTGCGCGGTGCGGTGCGGTGACCGACCGTGCGGTGGCCTCGGAAGCCCCAGAGACCTCACCTCAGAGGAGGAAAAAGGCACCGCTACCGCTGCCCTTCCCTCGCTTCTGCCTTCTTGGGCCTCCTGGGACGCCCTCGCCGCCGCGGCTGGATTCGCCTCGACATCCTGGTCAGGACGCGCCCTGGGAGAGATCCAGGGAGCAGCGGAATCGGTACTTGTGCTTTCCCCATCACCGCTCGGTCCGTCACAGCAAGGTTTTGGGACCTCGCCGGCCCCCGTCGTCCGAGACGTCCTCGGAGAAGGATCCCAATCCCAACGGCGTGCGGTCACTCCGGATCCCTGCCGACGCACCACGCGGTGCGGTCCCCGCACCGTCCGGGGCCCCCCAGAGCAGGCCGTCTCTGACTGCGCCCCCCCCGCGGAACTTGCAGCAAGATTCCCGCGGCCCCCGCGTGCCCCCCAATGCCGGTGCTCAGCGGTCTGCGCGGTCTGCGCGGTCTGCGGAGGCCGGCGTCAGCACCGAGATCTCTGGGGGTCCGGAGGCGCCGACCATGCGCCGGCAGTGCTGGCGGTAAGTTTCGCAGAGGGATGTGGGGCCCTGGACTCGCCATCGCTCGGACGTCCATTCCCAGCGTTTTTGGTCGGTTTCGTGCGTGGTTTTTCGCCAAATCATCAAGGATGCTCCTCGATGGCCCTCGCCGAAGGAAAAATGCACACGTCCGAGCGATGCCAAGTGGAGTTTGGCGGCCCGGGGGGGGGCCTGCTCCCGGGCGTTCTTGTAGGAGGACGCCTCCACGAAGTACACCGAGTAGGGGCGCTGGAGTGCCCTGCAGAGGTCCGACATGAACATGAAGACGCCCTTCAGGATGCCCACCAGGACGATCCGCTCCCCCTTGCAAAGGACCACCGCCCCACGCGCCGGTCCGACCCGCCCCACTTCCCGCCCCTATTCGGTGTGTCCCAGGAGGGTAATTGCGAGGAGGGGGAGGGGGGAGGATTGAGCGGGGAGTGGTGGATGGGTGGCGCCCTGGGAACTTCTTTCAGCCTCTGGCGCAAGGAGGTCTCTGAGAGGTGGCCCCCTGCAGCCTCTCTCCTCCTCCTCACCCTCTTCCTTCTTCTCCTCTCCCAGTTTTCCCTCTTCACCCTCCTCCTGTTCAGAGGAGCAGAAAAGACAAAAAAATCCTTCGTCTTCCTCCCTCTCCTCCTCCTTTTCCCACCCTCGTCTTCCCCCTCGCTTCCCCTCTTCTTCTTCCTCCTCCTACGAGACTCTTGAGAACCCACTAAGCCCCCTGAAGACTTTGCAGTCCCTGCTCCTTGTCCCTCCTTGTGCTGTAGAGATAGAGAGAGAGAGGGAGAGAAAGGACCATCCTCCTCCGTCCTACCCTGAGACTCCTTTCTCATATTCCTCCTCCTCCTGCGCCCGCTTGTCCCTCCCTCCTCTGCTCATTCGCCCTCCACCGCCATCCTAGAACCTCCCAGCTCCCCTCCCGTCACCCCCTTGAAATACCTGTTTCTCATCCGGTCCTCCTTCGCTTCTTGATGTCCTTGCTCATATTGATATTGCTACTACTATCCTCACTATCACCGTTCGTATTCCTCCTTCTTTTCCTCCTCCTCCTCCTCCTTGCCCCCCAACACTCGTCCTCCCTCTCCACTTCGCTCCCCCTCGTGGGAGAACTGAGGTATCTAACATCGGGTGTGCTACGATGTGATCAAAAAGGTCCGTGCGAGAAACACGCAATCTCTGCTAATCTCCGCTCGACAAGGGCAGGATCCGCGCCTATGCCCCTGAGTCTAGAATACCGATCGTCCTTGTTCTTTCTGTGATCATAAGGACACGGTGTCCCACCAAGCTCGTAATTTCACCAATCCCTCAATCGTTCATGTCAGAGCGTTGGCTGCCGAGGCCCCGAACATCGAAACAGCTCTTGCTGGTGAAGCAGGGGGGACGTGACCTCTTCCTCTTCCCCTTCATCACGGGAGCTTTCGCTCATCCCGCCGACTCCCCTCGTCGGCCGTGCACGGAGGCAGAGGTGGCCATGGCCAATTCCGAGGGCGCCAGCGTAGGTGAGTTTAGAGCCACGTCTGTGACCAATACTCTCAGACTGCTCAGAGTGCCGAGTTCTCAACGTACATTTGGGCACACATGTTGGCCACTGAGGAGTCTAAGGCTTGGTCCGACTGAAGCAAAATGGTTTGTTTAGCGGGGCTTCCCCGTGCTGAACAGTTGTATGGCAAGCGAGTGTATGCTGGTGCCCCTCCCCAGTGCAGTTCCGCATCCTCGTCCCCCCCTGTGCTGCGACCAACGTGGCGGCGCACAAGGAGCTGGAAGAGATCGTCATTGGCAGTCGGGAGCGGAGGCGGAGGGCCGGGAATCACCATGCCGATGTGGGAGCCGAGCACGCTGCCGGCATTCGCCTCACTTGTGAGGCCAGCGTGGCGGAGATCGATCGCACGGCTCGGCCTGCCAGGGCCACAGTGCGCCTCGCCCCAAAGGTCTTGCACCCCTGGAGCCCTCCGGATATTTCTGAGGCCGTGCTTCTCTGGGCCCGTGTCGTGTCCAGAGGCCCCGGGCTGGAGCGTGGAGATCTGAGGTTTGCCTTGGCATTCCTGGGATTATCTGTAAACCCTCGGAGGCCAAATAAGGCCAGGCCTAGGTGGGCATGTGAGGTCGTTGGCCGTGCGTGAGAAGTGCGCGTTGGCATTCTATGTGCTGATGCTTTTGAGCATGCCTGAACGAGTGTCGAGTGGTCGCTTTGGGGCATAATCCTTCTGGGCATGCCTATACGGGGTTCGAGTGGTGGTGCCTTCAAAAGAAGCGAGCGGGACGCACATTTCATCTGTGAGGGGCGCGCAGCACCGATGAAGCCGGCCCCCTGGACCTGTCCAAGGCCCAGCAAGGTGCACGCTTCGCGTTTTGGGCCCCCCGGCACAGAGTGATTGCGTTCGCCGGGTTGGATGACATAGAAAAACAAACAAACGGCATAAACATAATTTTTTGGCGCTCCGCGCGGGATTCCTGGATCTGCGGTGTGGCCCCCTTTCCTGGCGCGCGCAGCGCGCCAGAGGCGGCGCCGGAGGCGCCGCCAGGGGGGCCACAGCGCGGATCCAAGATATCCGCGCGGAGCGTCAAAAGTTCATGTTTACACGTCGTTCATTTCTAATCGTGCTCATTTCTAATTGTGCTCGTTTCTAATTGTTCCTGGCCCCCTAGTGGCCAGGAAGAGGCCCAGGATAGAAGAATCATAAATGAAAGGATCTTGGCCCCCAAAAGATCAAAGAACCTTCGAATAATTCGAAATAAACAACGTGTATTCTTTTTTCTCTTCTTCGATTACAATGCTACCGAACGCATGCCTAGGAACGAAGGGGCTTTTCTGGCCACGGCGGACCCAGGCCACAAACAGGTTCTGCCACATGGATCTAAGGAGCGGCCTGAAAACCGAGCCCCTCGTGAGCCCAAACCAGCCCTCATTTCAGCGTCTGGACTGTAGAGGAGCAGACAGCTGCATAAACATGCACGTTCGGTGCTCTGAATGCAATGATCATGCAGCTTTGAACTTAGAACTGGATTGGTTTGGTTACAATGCTTTGTGCTTGTGTCAAGTGTCACTGCCACTCGTCTGGGGCATGCGCGTTCGAAGGCTGGGGCAGGAGTGCACGGGTTATCCCACTCGAGCGACTCGGGCTGGCTGGAATGATTCATGCATGCGTGGCCTGAACTCCCATCACAACGGGCAAGGGGTGAAGGCTCGCACGGGAAACCTCACGGAAGCCTTCAGACACCTCTCTGTTTCGCCCGTGGCAGGGTGGCGCCCCACACCGCCGCCCTCGAGCAGCCACGGTTCGGTGGAGGAGAGCGTGGCATGGCCACGGCTTCGGGCTGCGCACAGACGGGCCCCCCCCCCCCGGGAGCCCCGGCTGGCCTCAACAGGCCCCCCGCATGGCCTTGGGCGGTCTCAGCACCCCAACCCTGAGGCGCGGCACGTCCACGGGGTGCCGCCGGAGGCGGCGCCAGCGTGTCGAGACCGCCCTTGGGGGCCCCGTGGAGGTCTGCCGGGACCGCCTGGAGGGCTGCCTGCGCGCAGCCCGACTCCTGACCAGCGTGGAGCTCACAGAACAAGTCCTCACACGCACACACCCTGACTCTTCCAAGCCCTCCCTGCACCTATGGCTCCACTGGCCTCTGGGGGGGCACGGTGGCAAGCGCTGCTCCATGGCGACAGTGCGAAAATGGTCGGGGAACCGGATTACCCCCAGCGGTCGGCGGTGTGGGGTAAGCCTCAGAATCCTCAGCTTCGAAACCCCTCTGGACCTTGCACCAGTTCTCGATCCGGCGGGCCACCACCCGCACGGCCGCCTCGATCTCCTCTCGCGGGGCACGGAGGAAGGAGGAGGAGGAGGAGGAGGAGGAGGAGGAGGGGGAGGAGGATGAGAAGGAGGAGGAGGAGGGGGAGGAGGAGGGAGGGGAGGAGGAGAAGGAGGAGGAGGAGGAAAAGGGAGGAGGAGGAGGAGGAGAAGGGAGGAGAAGGGAGGAGGAGGAGGAGGAGGAGGAGGAGGAGGAGGAGGAGGAGGAGGGGGAGGAGGAGGAGGAGGCAGGACTGGCGCGGACTGCCACCTGCAGTGTCGAGGTCGTCTGGGCAGTGAAGATGATCCTCAAGAGCGCCCGACATCCTCGAGGCGTTGCCCACGGCACGGCGAGCCTGTGTGAGGAACCAGCCCGCTGGGCCGTTTGGGCAGTTTTTTTATTGTTATTTTCAGTTTTTTTTTTTTTTTTTTTTTTTTTTTTTTTTTTTTGTGTTTGCATGTTTTACAACATATAGGTAAAACACTGTAACTGTCAGATTATGCACGCGCTGCTCTGGCGAGACTCCATGCTGATACCCCGCCACAAGATCCGCGACCGTCCCAGACCCCCAGGTGCTCACAAGAAGTAGGACAAGAGAGAAGGTTTTCGATCGCGACAGGGTTGTAGAGGACATCCAAGAGACTTCAGAAAACAGGGGCTGAGGAGGAGGAGGAGGAGGAGGTGGTGGATGAGGGATGGACGAGAAGGGGGGGGGAGACGAGGCGGGGGAGAGAGGAGAACAGAATGGAGGGAGGAAAACGAGGAGGGGTAGTTCACGGGGGGGAGGATGAGACAAGGAGGGGGGGGCAACTGGATATGGTGGGTATTAGGGTCCAGAACTCGCGGCGCTTCTGGGTGGTGCCGGCTCAAGAGGGCTGGTGCTCGCGCACGCCCCAGGCTTGACCCAGCGCCCCAGGCGCTGCATTCTCCGAGGCAGTCGGCCTCCTAGTAGCACGAGGAGCAGGAAAAAGGTAACCAGGAGGGAATGAACGCAGGAGAAGGAAGGAGGGCAGGGAGGAGCAGGAGGCGAAAAAGAGTAGGGATGAATAGTGGAGGAAGAACGTCGTGAGACGAAGACCTGATACAGGAACTATGGGCAAATATACATTACTCTGGTAAACCGTGTGTCATGAAGATGTATCGGGCGCCGCGGCGGGTCCTCAGTGATCTGGAATACTTTGAGAGCGTTCTGGAACGCTCTGGAGAGATGTACATTCATCCCAGGCGTGCCCGAGGTACGGCGAGGAAGGGAGAGGGGAAGGACGACCGATCCCAGAACGCCCTCTGTGACTGCATTGGGGTCACGTGTTCCTCGAGTCATCCAGTCCATGCCGTGCCGCTACCATTGGGTTCAAAGCGACACGGTTCACCTCGACGCATCTCATTCCGATCAGCAATCCATGAGGCCCCAAATGGACCTCGAGGGGCCCGAGACAGCCCGAAGAGGACCACATTGCCCAAGACCGCTTTACGAAAGCTTTAAGGCGACCGCAAGACGCACCAAGACGGCCCCACGATGGCTCTGCCGAACATGGCCATACGATGCTGGACACCTCCAAGTGGTGATGGCGGGACGGCACCCCGTGCCGAGGCCAAGTTCAGCGACATCGCCCCGTTGGCAGGGCATCAAATCTCTCTTGATGAGGTTGTGATCTTCGGGGCTGAAGTTCATGATTCTCAACTTCCAGTACCAGGACGTGCTGCGGATCCACTGCTGGGTGGCGGTGGTGAAGGTCACTCAGGTGGCCGTGCAGGGCAAGGCGCTCTACGGGCTCGACGTGGACGGGGGAAGCGCATCGATGACCTAGCTGAGCAGATCAAAAACATTACGGTTGCGATGAGTGCACTGAGCGGGACAGTGCTGCCTGGGACATCGCCAAATACTAAGAAGGGGGGCCGCAAGCTCGAGCCGCCAACACTTCAGAAGATACGTCAGCTTCTTGAAAGTATGACAAGGGGAACTACACTTTGAATGAGTATCAAGTGCAGCAACGTCTCCGCGCGATGTTGCCGAGGGTCGATACTACTAAACGTGGGAAAAGCAAAGATGATTCTACTGCTGAGAATGTCGCCGCTTCTTCCTCAACGACGTCCACGAGTCCCACGCCCAAGCAGGGACCGAGGCCAATACCTAGAATTCTGACGAGCGACTGGGGGAACGACGTGCCGATCTGGGTGGCACAGTCCTTGAAGGAGCGAGTCTATGAGAATGGGAAGCCTCCTATCATTGTATGCAATACGATGGTGGAATATCATGCAGCATATGATTGGCTTACTGCATCTTGCGGATCAGCTGCCACATTCATAGTCTTTTCAATGTCTGAGAATATCCAGGGGGCTATTGCAGGCGAAGTTTTGACATCTGGGGAGAAAGGTTCAGTACCACTCAAGTGCCAGATCTACTACTACGGAGACGGCGCGCCTAGGCGCCAAGGATTACCGCAAGGAGTCAAAGATGATGATGAATACCAGGCCCCGAGGTCACCCACTACGGTGATGAGACTGACGTGTGCCAAGAATTTTGCTGATGACGATGTTTTCGGACGAGCGTCGCAGAAGCCAGCCAGCCTCCCGTCTATTGTATTCAATGTAGAGTTGTGCAGGCATATTGTCCGCACAAAGGGGGCTCTCAATTATGAAAGTGAGATCACAATGCTGCTGATCATCAAGACCGATGCTATATCAAAGTTCCTGGACGAGAAGCTCCCGAACGGGGTTTTCTGCAATTACCAGCAGTCCAAGATCATGCCGCGGTGGTTCAAGCAGAGGCAGGACGAGTCCGTCGACGAGTACTGGAACAGAGTGGTTGCAGCAGCGGCCACGGTTGCAGGTCGCCTTTTGTACCGCCCAAGTGATGATGCGCCCCTTGGGGTGCTCAGTGAGAAGCAGGTTGGATCGGACCTCCTCCCCAGGTGGGCGGTCCAGCGTGCACCAGCGGAGTGGACAGCGCCCGAGGATCTTTCAACCTGGGCGATCCAGAGAGGATGGACGAATGTAACGTCACCGACACGTACGGGACGACGCACATGGTTTTTTCGGGGAGACCTTGCTGCAGCGTGCTCGCAGAATGACAAGGCGTACAACTTCAGCAGTGGGGTCATCGTCACACCAGCGAAGCCACCGCAGCGGAAGGATCGTGAACGACCGCAAGGAGTCAAAGCTCAGAGTGTGTGGGGGGTAGCACCGCCCAAGGTCACCTTCACCACGCAGGATGAGGAAAAGCCAGATGATGAAGCACCTCCAGACCCGCCTCCAGCGCCACCTGCTGCTGCTGCTGAGGGTACTGAAGGTGACCATCAACATCGTCGACCAGCCGAAGCAGCCCCTGCGGGAGCTCGCGCGGCCAAACAAGCGAGAGCTGCAGCTCCAGACCCACCGTGGAAGGAGCACTGCGATATACAAGACAATGGAGGGCAAGGTGATTGTGCATACATAGCCGTGGGCCTTGGTCTTCATGAGCTCAAGCCTGGACACAAGCCTGTACCCGCCAACGAGCTGGTCCCTGGTGGACGTGTCCAGCAATCTTTGCGTCTCCTGGTGGCGGGAGAGGTAAAGAAGAACAAGCAGAAGTTCGGAGCTACGGACGCAGATATTCAAAGAATTGGAACGTGTGGGAAAATGGCTGATTCTCTTACAATCAGGTGTACCTCTATCGCCGCAAGAGTTGATACTCGTATTTGGAAATTCAATCCAGATACCAATGGGGGCAGGTGGACCCTCTACACGAGCCCCAAGAAGTACAACAGAATAGTATGGGTCATGTTGAAAGATCAGCACTACCAATTGCTACGCCCTAAAGCATCGCTCACCACAGAAGTTGCTCAGCAATGGTGTGAAGCGGCCTTACCATACCCAGATGCCTTCACGGGTGGAGGCAAAAGCGTGGCAGCATCCAGCAGCCACAAGGACGACGATTTCGACGAGGATGCCGCGAGGAGTTTCTTCGGAATATCGGCGGCATCTACGACGTCTGAGGTCAAGAGGGCGAGGTCCTTATTAGGTGTCACGCCCAAGTCACGACGGAAGTCCAGAGCAAGCGCATCAGCGGCAGGTCCTGCTGAAGCTGCTCCTGATGAAGCTGCAGACTTGGAGCCATGCACGCCGGTGGATGTCTCACGGTCGGCGCATTTGAAGTGCCCAAGTTGTGGTTGGCTCCCAACTCGAGAGCAAGCTTGTGAAAGAGCTCAGGAGGCACGGGTTCACTGGCGTTACTGCGTCGGGATCACACCCCCTGGGAAGACGAAGGAAGCTCAAGGAGAAGCAAACCGACAATTTGCTATACCTGGGCGAAACCGTGCAGTACGGCAGAGAGCTTGGTTACGCTACTGCGAATGGTATGACAAGCTCGACCCTGACGTCAAGCCAAACGTCTGCCACGTTCTGGAAGCGAGTGCGACCACCAGACAGACGAAGAGGCAAACTGATACTTGTTATTCGTGCACGAGATGTGGAATACAAAGAACGATTGCCAAATTGAAGCTTGAACCGTGTACAAAGCGGCTGGACCGTACCATGAAGGCGAATGAAGTGAAGGAACGACTTCATGGCAAAGATGTTTGGGCGAAACGATATGAGAAGACGTTGGCCAATCATCGGAAGTGGTCCGCGAAGCCAGAGAACAAAGAGTACCTGAAGAAGTGGCAGCAGGACTACTTCAACAGGCCTGGGCAGCGTACTTTAGCGGCCTACAGGCGCAAGATTGCAAAGCGAAAGAAGGCGGCCATGAAGCGGGAGGTGACACATGCCAGAGGCTGGGCGCGCAGGCGACCAGCAGCAGTGCTACGCCGACCTGCTGCTGCTGCTGAGTGACAAATCCCAAGGGGGCTTACCGAGGCCCTTGGTGGGCCCCAGACTGCCAGCACGAGTTGCAGCAGCACCACGTACCTCCACGACTTGTCGAAGTTATGCGGAGTGAATGGAAGGTTCTATCATTTTCTTGATACCAGTATGTTGAGATCGAGTGAGGGTTTCCCCTGTCACGGATGGGCGCTTGCGCCCCACTGGCCTCCTGTGGGGAA